GGCACAGTCATGTTGTTATTTGTTAGAAGAATGACGACAAAGATTATGGCTAAAACCTAATAGAAACAGGGGTTAACCGATGAAAGAGAAAGGACATTCTCTCATCACCCGAGTGGGAGGAACCTCCTTCAGACTAAGAATTAGATTGTGCTGATGGCTTTAGGGTATGAGAAAGTTGGCAACGCCCTGTTTCTCTACACGGAATTGAATTAAACTGTTAAATCATATCATCTTTCTCTTCATAAAAAGACAGAAACCATGCTTGTTCAGCTCAGGCTTACCTACACGAAACCAAATCACAGCGAATGTCAACTCAGGTCGCTTTGCAGATACCGTCCGATTAAAGCTAAATATGGTCAAATTCATTGTAATACGATCATTATCGGCTCAAAGAATCCTGTTAAGGGTCACGTGGGTGCTGAAGTCTAGCCCAGCAGAGGCATGGTGCAACCTGGCCAGTCCACCAGCGGGCCCGATTTAAGCTAATGCTAATGAGCTAATGCTAATGAGCCATGGTTCTGCTCGAGGTTTCTGCCCGTTGAAAGGAAGTTTTTCCTTGCCTGTGTCGCCTAGTGCTTGCTCATGGTGGGAATTGTTGGGTTTCTGTAGTTAACTTCAGAGTAGGGTCTGACCTGCTCTGTTTGGAAAGCTGTGAGACAACTGTTGTTGTGATGTGGCGCTATATAAATAAAGTTTAATTGAATTAATTGAATTAATTAAGAGTTAGGGAATTAAAGTTGATGCTTCAGAATAAGCGGTAGAGATCTTAACGGGATGGAAGTTCTCAAAGCAAACCCAGTTCTACGGACAATTCATTGACAATAAAGTGAGCGAGTCCAAGGTTTCCACGTCCATCAAAGTCCCCTCCAGCAGGAAACTGACCCCCACGTTGCTCCAGATGTTGGCGCTGTTGTTTCAGGGATACATTTAAACATAAATAAGACATTCAGGACAACATTTAACTGAGCTTGATTCATCCCAAGATTTAAGGCCACCTGAGATGGGCCAAGGGGTCCAGTTTATGAAACTTCATGAACTGATGATGTACACGTTAAGTTTATCTATATGGCACACAGAAAAAACATCTAAAGTTCGTTCAAGGCTCCCATTGAAAAAATAAACAAATAACAATGAATAATGTTAAGGAATCAGTGAGGACTGGACCCAAAAGCAAACAGGTGATTTATTGGTTTGGAGGGAGAGTAGAGGTACCAGGGAGCCAGGAAGGTGACCAGGATGTATATATAAATATATATATATAGTATATATATGGTCAAATAGCCATTACACAGACTGGAGGTGTGTTTGGGGTCATTGTCCAGTTGAAAAATAAATGATGGTCCAACTAAACGCAAACCGGATGGTAGCCATGCTGCTTCAGAATGCCTTTCATTTTGAATAAATCCCCAACAGTGTCACCAGCAAAGCGCCCCCACACCATCACACCTCCTCCCCCATGCTTCACAGTGGGAACCAGGCATGTAGAGTCTATCCGTTCACCTTTTCTGCGTCGCACAAAGACACCACGGTTTGAACCAAAGATCTCAAATCTGGACTCATCAGACCAAAGCACAGGTTTCCACTGGTCTAATGTCCATTCCTTGTGTTCTTTAGCCCAAACAAGTGTCTTCTGCTTGTTGTCTGTCCTTAGCAGTGGTTTCCTTGATGGTTTTTGCGACTGCACTTGGGGACATTTTCAAAGTTTTCCCAATTATTCCAACTGACTGACCTTCATTTCTTAAAGTAATGATGGCCACTCGTTTTTCTTTACTTAGCTGCTTTTTTCTTGCCATAATACAAATTCTAACAGTCCATTCATTAAGACTGTCAGCTGTGTATCCACCTGACTTCTGCACAATACAACTGATGGTCCCAACCCCATTTATAAGGCAAGAAATCCCACTTATTAACCCTGACAGGGGACACCTGTGAAGTGAAACCCATTTCAGGTGACGACCACTTGAAAAGCATTAAGAAAATGCAGAGTGTGCAAATCAGTAATCAGAGCAAAAGGTGGCTACTTTGACAAACCTAGAAGACATTTTTTTCAGTTGTTTCACACTTTTTTGTTAAGTATATCATTCCACATGTGTTAATTCACAGTTTTGGAGCCTTCAGTGTAAATCTACAATTTTCATAGTCATGAAAATAAATAAAACTCTTTAAATGAGAAGGTGTGTGTGTGTGTGTGTATATATATATATAGAATGCAACGATCTATAACTTTAATCATATGTACATTCTAACAGTGAAAGACAGAATCCCAAAGAATCTTCTGATGAGGAAAAATAAGCATTCTTTGTAAGTGGGCAAACCTGCAAAATCAGCAAGGGGTCAAATACTTATTTCCCCCACTGTATATATATACATATTTATTAAGTGCAAATGTGATTTGCAGTGGAAAAAGTAAGAAAACTAATTGGTTTCACTCCACCACAAAGGAGTTTATGTTCAACTATGATTCACTGAATGTCTTTTCCACAGTATTTTCAAAGCTTAAGGACCGCCAACTCTTCCAAAACAAACAAGGGCCTGCATTTGATCCATTTCAGGGTGTCCTGAGTATCTCTTAAAGTGGCCTCCAAAGCCACAACGTGATTCACTGTGGCAGTTTCACACATAAACAAAGTGGGCTGTGAATTAGCATGCCTAAGTAAGGTCTCCAAGCCCAGGTTGAAATAAGTCATGCTGCCGATATAAACACACGACACGGACTGCCTTTAAAAGCCCAGACCCTGTTCAGCTGTGACTCGTTGCTTTGGTATGGGCTGGAGATGTTGAATGATGTTGAGATGAGCCCCCCCCCCCCGCATTTGTGATGGGTGTTTATTCCAACGAGGAAATGGCTGCTGATGGTGAGCAGATATCAGAGCTGAACGTGATCTGTGAAGTCATTTTTGAGGCTTTAATTCCCTTTAATTCTCATCTGCATAGCTCCAACTCATAGCTAACGTCAACTCTATCTCATTCAAACTATTTACAAATGAATATCCATGTAATAGAATCATCACACACACACACTAAAACCTCCCCCCATGGACATGGACAATACACACACCTTAGTTTAGCTTTGTCTTCAACTCAATAGTTTCTTTTTGCAATCAACTCAGTGCAATATTCATTTATGTTTCTTTTGTAATAACTCTGTGCAATAATATGTATATATACCCTGTATATATCTAGCTCTTAGATATAGAAAACATATTTATTAAGGAAGAATAAGGTCTTAGCTCTGTCACACTGGTAGCCAAGTAATGGTCAAAATTCACCTTGTGTTTTTGTACAATGAAAATAAAGGAAGTCTATGTCTATGTCTATCATAAAATCACTCCCAAACTATCAAATTCCAAATTAGTCCAATTAATTAAGAGACAACAGCAAAAGAGGTTTCCTAGCAAAATATTCCCAGAGATCCAACCAAGACTTTCTGACTTTAAGCTCTGCTGTTGAACTGTTGTTGAACAATGTTTGACTAAATATAGAAATCCTGCAGCACCTGTTGCCACATGTGCTGTGCACCATTTGTCTTTGGAGATTATGAGGTCCAAAGGATTTACAAAGCAAATGCAGCTGATTCTTTATTTGAAAGTGACATTCCTCTGGTCACTTACAGTCCCACCAGTTTAGAATAAAGGTTTCCAGAGGGACACATTTCTGGGAGAATTGTACAGATAGCGCATTCATTTTTCATTTTTCTACAAAAAGTACCTTTTAAACACTTCTGATTTCAGCCACACTACTCAGAAGATAGATTACATCTGTTTGTTTCAGGTAAAAAAACATCTGGAGTATTTCTGGCTTAATGATTTCAATGTAACTGCAATGTAACTGGTAACAGAATCCCATGATTTCCAAATGTCAAAAACAGAACAATCTGTTGTTTAATTTTAAAAAAGGGACATTTTAAAGACAAAATGTAGCTCTTTTGCAGTTAGATGGCAGCAAATGATCTCAAAATAGGCAACCAAATGCCGGAAAAGTAAGTGGTATGAAAAACAAAGGATATTAATATGTTCCATCCAATTCAATTAATCGTCAGGAATCAAAAAGAGATCCCTGGATGGCGGAGTCTTTCATATTTGGAGTTTTCACAGATTTCTCAATAATTTTCTTGGTTAGAGTTCATGATATCACGCAGCAACGCAAAAGTTGCATGAAGAAAATCTTCATGATGTCACGCAAATCACCGCAAAAGTCGCTAATGAACGTTAGAATTCAATCATTCATGAAATCTACAATCACTTCAAATGAGCTGAGGTAAAGCTCCCTCTGGACGTGATAGATGCTGTCTCTTTTAGGCTATAAAAAAAGAACGGGACCCCGTCAGCTTGATAACAGGACTTGGATCTCTCGCGTTAATGGGGACGGATCTACGAAATCTGGGGGCACCATCGACCCTGGAAGGTTTCTGAGAGTTTAAGAGCAACGTATACTAATACCCAGGGGCCAGACAAAGCTAAACCTCGCACTATGTGTTTGTTTGGGCAGCGTGGATAAGTTCCTTCACGTGCCTCCTTTGGAATATGTGTTTGGACATTATCGCTCCGTAAACCAACTCCAACTCTTAAATCTGCTAATTGTCAGATAGTTAGGAGAGCCAGGGGGGTGGGTTTTAAGGTTTGCTACAAAACTTTGTGATTTCTAGATTGATGGAGTGCCCGTAAACAACTTCCACGCCCATGGCAGGATAGTTAGTGCTTCACCTCTCGTGCGTAATGAGTGGCGCAGTCATTACGCATTACGCGCTAAACCAAACCAAACCAAACCAAACCAAACCAAACCAAACCAAACCAGTGGTGACTTTCCCTCCCATTCGTGTTTGGAGCTGCTTTTTCTAGCTTTGGGATGTCCATCTTAAGGGTGAAGCGTACCCAGAATGCCCCTCCTATCACAGCCGCTGTCAACTAAAAGGAAAAAAGCGCCCATCGCGCGCTCTCTGTGGAGTCACCACACTGTAGTTTCAGCTCCAGCTGCGGTCGGTTTTAATCACAACGGGCGACATGGAGAGAAATAAGATGCAAGCAGTCCTGCAAAAGAGACCCAACGTCCAGAAGGAGTCGAGGAAGTGCGCGCAAAGGTTCTGGGTGGTTTTCCCGCACTTCATCCTGTGCGGAACCCTGGTGGCCTACGCGGCTCTGGGTGCGCTGGTTTTCCAGTACCTGGAGGGGGGGGGGGGGCTCCAACACGGACGGGGAGTACCGGGAGTTTCTGGGTCAGATTGTCCACATCGTGCAAAACGACACCGGTAAGTGGAGCTGTTTTCAACTCACTTTACACAAAATATCAAATGTCATTTAGTGCATCGCTTCTAAATTGTTTTGGCCACTTGTTCCAGGCTGATTTATTGTGAATTCTAACTTTACCTTGAGCTGATTAAGCAGTAATGACGAATATACAACAATCAATCAACCAATCAATCACTTTATTTTGGTAAATTGTCCACATTAAACACAAGAAACAACAAAAGAAAAAAAAGAAAGGAACAATAGACAAACCCACAGTTTACCAAAAAAGGAATAGGCCGAAGCAAAGCTTATTCATGCCTACCCTATTTTTTTACCTTACAACCTACCAGGATTTCTTCAAATTCAGATTCAAGTACATAGTACATATATAGATCTACATAACAGCGTAAGATTTGATCATTTTACATTTTAAAGCTCTTTTAAAGTTCACCAAGAAAGGACATAACTTAAATTCATCATTCAATTCATTCCACAGTTTCACACCAATAACTGAAACACATCTAGCACTTTACACAAAATATCAAATGTAATTTACAAAATATCAAATGTAATTTAGTGCATTGCTTGTAAATAGTTTTGGCCACTTGTTCCAGGCTGATTTATTGTGAATTCTAACTTTACCTTGACCTGATTAAGCAGTAATGACGAATATACAGTGATATTGTGATGATTAAAGCTGATGTTTTCCTCTACATCCAGGCAACAGCTCCAGTACGCACGAAACTATCCTGGACCGCGTGCAGGAAAAGATGAAGAAGTTCAAGTCCATATGGTTCCAGAGACCCAGCAGATGGAGTTTTTTTGGTTCCATGTTTTTCTGTTGCACTGTATTCACAACAGTGGGTAAGTCCCACGTGACCAAATGTAATCTCACTTTATTCACATTATCTATCTATCTATCTATCTATCTATCTATCTATCTATCTATCTATACATCAGATCCAATTTTTTCCTATAATTCCAGAAACGGTTAACGCTCATTTATTGGATGCTCGTTATCATAATAACACATGGTGAAAAAAGAATAAAGTATGGTTTCACAATGCTGTGGTAGATAGGAATGATGGGTGATGGAGTCTTAAAGCTGACGGGTTATTGGGCTTTTTAATAAAAAGTGTCAGATCTTCATATTTCTGGATGTAGACTGAGAAGAGGACAGATGCAAAGCATCATGGGAAGGCTCCTAGCTCTTTTGACTTATAGCAGCATAATTAAAGGAGCAACAAAGGGTAATTCAAGTCAGCCGACCTATAAACGTAATCAGTTAGAACAGTTTTAAGACTAATATTGAATGTTTCTGAACCCATTTAATGTTGCTCTGGTTTGTAAATCCTCATTTAACAATGGAACTTAAACGTATTGAACAAAGAAACTTGACCGAGAGATGAGAAATAATATACTAAAAACCTAAAAACTGTCTAAAACCAAACAAATTCCAAACTGCAGACACATATCTGAAGACAAAGTGATCAAATGCAATGTGAAAATGCAAAGAACACATCATGTTTATGTGCATGTGTGCATGTCATGCTGTAAAAGTCCAGTCGATGTTTAAAATGAAGGTGATTTTAACTCATTGATTTGTGTTTTTTCTGTATTTGGGATCGGTTTCCGAGGTTAACTGTCAAATCCTCACGGTTCATTTCAGGGGTTCAATGTTATTTAGCTTCTAGTTTCACAGTTTGAGTTGTTTTCAAGCTGACTAAATAGTGCACCAACTAAAAAACGGCCAAACCTCCCCAGATGCCTTCAGGTGCAAGATAAAAGCTCAACAAAGTCCCCAACCTAACAAAAGTAGAACAGCCAAAACCAAAGAAAGAACTCAAACCAGACACAAAACACCAAAACAAAGTCTAAAAACCCAAAGTAACGACAGAAAACGGCAGTTTCTGTCTCTGTACCATATTAAGAAGAACCACTTTTCCCTTCAAATGCTTCTGAAGCAGATGTCCACACAGCTACATTAGTAATGATAATTAATGCCGCTGCACTCCTTAATCTTCTGGACATATGTGGGGTTCTAAGAAGCACTTATGAGTGCTCCGTGTTTTACCAACAGCATGTAGTAGTCAGAAACATCTCAGTTTGGGGAATAACAAGCTTTTCTCGAGTGAAAACCGGTCAAAATGTCTCCATTCCAGAGTTGAAAAAAACTAGAAACGTCCTAGCAGATGTATTATGGATGGTTATACTGTGTTGATTCTGCACTTCCTTCACCACAGAAGCATTAAATGCTGTAATTGATATAAATATTTAACATCCTCCCTGTTTACTGCATTATCTACCACACTACAGCTCGGAAGCCTTTTTTTTTTCTCCGTGCTTTGAAGATCTAAAAGCACATGGATCTGGATTTTCTACTAATATATGGAGCATTTAGCTAGCAATGTTAATCAAACACCTTTTGTTTTTTATCGATTTGATGAGAATAACTCAAAGTCTAGCATTACTTTTGATGATTACGTCATGAGGGTGGATCTTGGAGGGAGATATGAAGTTTAAAGGGTTTTATTTGAACAAAAACAAACTCAATGGAGTGGATGCAGACAAAGTTCAAAACGAGGCTGTGACAAAAAACTACGATCAAAGTAGCAAAGCAAGATTAACATGACTTTGGCAAAACAAGGCTATGACAAAAACAGTAAACAAGGCTGTGGAAAAACTATGAACAAAGTATCAAAGCAATAAAGTTAACAAGGCTGTGAAAAAACATGGCTATGGAACAAAAACAAGACTATGGCATGGTGCGAAAAGCAAAACCTTACGTGGCGAGGGGTGACGAAGAAATGACGAAAGACGAAAACGAACTGGCCCAGGACATGGGAAACAAGGACTATTTAAACACATGAGGGAGGGGAACCCAAGGTGTACACAATAGGTAATCAACACATGACAACACACCACAGATTATTGTCCCAAAGCTTCCTCAACATGTGTCTAACACACATCAGCCACAGCTTTAGGACCTCTGACAGGGAAAGTGAGCAACACTTCTTATCTTGATGTGTAAAGGATGGCTATTAAGAACGCACCAACCAGGAAATCTAAGCTATTTACATGCCGATCTGATGGGATCTGATATATATATATAAAGGTGGCTGTCACCAGATAAACCACCCAGACATTTTGTTATCATAAAGTACATTTTTTCTATTTGTCTGTGGAGGGAAATCGTGCTCTCACTTGTGATCACTTTATAATGTTTGCCCTTAATGGTGTGTCGCTGTCAAAGCATGAAGGTAAATATCAATGAAACTATTTGCTTCACCCACTTGAAGCTCGTTTTTGATTTCATCGGATGAGTCGATGTGGAATGATCTTGTGAGGAGACATTTCAATGTTTGCCAGCTTCCGATGCATAAGTGGTCAAGGGACGCTAATGGCTAATGGCTAATGGCTTAGCAACAGGAAGCCCATATCCCTCACAAGACAAGGCTCTTTAAGAGAAGGATGCCTCTTGCATCACCACAAAAAGCTGAATGCAATCCTGGAAACATAATCATATCTGAACGGCCCATCTCTGAGCTGGTTTGTCCTCATGTGTTCACAGTTGTGAACAATCGTGAAATTGATTGAGAATTTGAAAGTCCAAGTGGAGGTTCTGAGTTTGAACCCTAACCTTTTATACCCAGACTTAAGTGTAAAGGGACAAAAATATTCCCACAATACTTGCATCCATAAAAATATGATAGTTGATAGGCCTTCCTTTTTTTTACTGAAGAGATACATCTCTTCTAATCAGCCAGAGTACCAACCAGAGAAGATCCTTGGGATTAAACGAGAAAGAAATATTTAGAACAAAGAATTAGAATCTACCGTAAATCTTCAAAAATCTTAATTAATTGGAAAGTGAAGTGAATAAGTGAATAAATAAAATATAATACAAAAAATATACATATACATATACAGGATCTTTGTATAATATATACATAATTGTATATATGTATATATATATAATACTTTAAAAAAATTATTATTGTTATCTATCTCTTTGTATTATATTTTATTTATTATGTGGGGGCCTTGAACAAACTTTAGATGTGTTTTATATATGTGATACATAGAGAAACTTGACTTATACAGCATCTTGGTTTATTATCCATGTATTTTTTAATTCATTTTTAACAGTTCAACAAGCAAAACAAACACGTACAACAATGTTCCCATTCCTTCCCATCTTTTGGTTCCAGATCTATTAGAAAAATAAATAAAATAAAGCTACATCTTTAGGGCATGCACAGAATTATACATATGTAACAGTGGGTCAAAAGGTTGTTAACATTCAACATAACTTAACCATGAATAGTTGCCATGGGGTGTTGAATTTTACAACACAACCTCTGATGGTGATCTTAACCTTTTCGAGATGAATGTGACCCATCATGTTTCTGATCCTAATTCTAATGATGTCTCCTTCACATTAATATCTCTTAAACATTTACTTTAGTATAGATCAGACCAGATGTGCTATATTTTGCCTAAAACGTGACTATTTGCATTGATGTTAACCACCAAAAATATTGTATATGTCAGTCCTAGGTCCAGCATCACACAGGGGTTATTCCCTGGGTTATAAATGATTCGCTGTAAATTGTTCTGCGAAACGTACTTGTTGGTTAAAATGCAAGAATATAAATATGAAAAGCTCTTTTTTCCCACTACTTGTTGCAGGATACGGGGAGATCTACCCCATCACACTGCCTGGGAAGGTGGCGTGCGTTTTATACGCCATGGTGGGAATCCCCCTCATGCTCCTGGTAATCCTGGACGTGGGGGACTTCCTTGCCTTGGTGATGTCCAGGGCCTACGTACACATCCACTCGCTCTTCAAAGCCCTCCGCTCTCGCAGCTGGTCGCCGTGGAAACGCGGGGGCAAGGCGGCGGACTCGGGCCGCTTCGTGCTCAGTCAGGACGTGGTGATCCGCGAGCCCCTGGACCTCCGGCAGGTCCTGCGCAGCCAGGCCGACGTGCGGCACAAGTCCGTCCACCTGGAGAACAACCGGGAGATCTTCGAGAAGATCCTGGCCAGGGAGAACCTGAAGCGCAAGGGCCCGCTTCTCAAAAGCCTGTCCTGCCCTGAACTGGACCAACTGCTACCTGCCCCTAAAGGATACGCCATATGGGACTTCTCCGGGTTAGGGGACGGCATGGAAACCCTAGATTTCCCCTTTATCCTGATCCTACTGATTGTGTTTGCATACATCTGCCTCGGAGGTTTGATTCTGCCGTTGTGGGAAACCGAGTTTGAAGACTTTGATCCGTACTATTTCTGTTTCATAACCCTCACCACCATTGGTTTCGGCGACATCGTACCCAGACACCCGAACTACTTCATGCTCACCTCGCTTTTCATCATCGTGGGCATGGCTATCATGTCCATGGCCTTTAAGTTGAGCCAAACGCGAATTGTGGGCTGTTACCGCAAGTGCATCAAGTTTATTAGCAGAGGAAACGTTGAGACTTCCAAAGATGAGCCCGACGTCTAAGTTATTACAGGATTCTCAGTATTATTCGTAGCACTTGTACAAGCATGTCTCGCTGAATTGGGGCTGAGAGTAACCTGCCTGTGAGAAACCAGCCTTGTCTGACCAGTCTTTTCTGTATTCAAATTCAGAAAATAATAATAATATCCTCATTAAAAGACAAGCCAGCCGTCTCTCTTTCTGTCATTTTCTGCACCACACAGACTGAGGAGTCCAAATATTTAACAATATTTTGCAAGCCTAAGGTATCACTGAGTTGGTTGAGCTAAAATAAATAAAAAAAACAGTGAGGTTTTGTATTTATCCATGGAACAGAAGTTGTGGCCATTTGACTTTAACTCTATGACAGATATTGGGATAAGTGAACATAAAGACCATCATATGATGGTTACAAAGTTTTATACAACTAAATCCTGTCATGATGCTCCAATACCAATATCAATAAATACAACTAACAGTGGAGGACTAAGATGTGTTTACCTGATAGCAGCTTGTCCTTAAAGGTTGCCAACAGCGGTTTCTTCATTTCTAATCGACTGAAAGAGCTCGTTCTCTGTCTTTCATCCCGTAAGGGTCCCTTTTGTCGAAGCCAAATCTGGTTGGTGTGCATGTTCTCCACCTGAGCACAAGATGGCGCTGCTGTCCAACGGTGGGGAAAAAGGCCTATTCCCATCCATTCATGGATTCCATCAGTCAGCCTCACAGATTTATATTAGTAATATTAGTAAAATGACCCGGCCCTCACCAGTCTCCGGGGATTTGTATCTGTCTTATTTCACTCTACAACGTGTGGAAACATCTAGAAGTTATGATCGGCGCAGTGTGTTGGTCGTGTGTCGTGTTTAGTACTGATTCGGTTCTCTGTCTCTGAGTGTGTGTGTTGTTAGAGATGTTTCTCGGCTATTTCTGCTGGACGCCCAGCAGATGTCACCCTTTGGGCGTCTTTACAACCTCAAACTGAGAGAACCTGTGCTATGCCCTGGTTCTGAATGAATGAATGAATCTTTATTGTCATTGTCACAAGAAACGACGAAATGTAAAAAGGTGCCATCAATCAGTGCATGTGCCCACAATTTACTGATAAAAAAACAACTAATAAATAAGAATAGCACATTCTCACACACATCATCCATGATGATTAATGGTTATTTTTGGTTGCATGTCGGGTAAAAGGCTGTCCAGATGTTGAGTGATGGGTGAAACCTGATGTGGTCCACAGGGCTTCCTGGTCCTGGTCCTGGTCCTGGTCCTGGTCCTGGTCCTGGTCCTGGATGGCTGCCTTTTAAATGACGTGACCCTAGAACACACAGGACCTGTGTGTCTGTCTGAAGAAACTCTTGAAGACCCCCCTCTTCAAAGAGCATCTCCTATCCTAACCCTAACCCGTACCTCTACCCCCCACAGCTCCTATCCTAACCCTAACCCGTACCTCTACCCCCCCACAGCTCCCACTTATCCTAACCCTAACCCGTACCTCTACCCCCCACAGCTCCTTCTGTAGTCCCTCTACCTCTATCTCTATCTCACCACTGACTCTGATCAGGGTTTCTCCTCTGGATAGCTTATTGTCATAGTGATGAGAAATGGAATATTGGGTCTACTCTGTAAGTCGCTTTGGATAAAAGCGTCTGCCAAATGCATAAACAGAAACATAAACATGTTACCTGTGTTATTATTATTCCTTCTACTTAGACAACATCTGGAAGATGCAACATTTATGAATCTGCTTTTTTCAGGTTGAATTTATTCTTTTCTTGGCAGGAAAACTCTAAAAACACGGAGGTGAAAGGACGGGCTAATTCTGTATGATTCCTCTTGATGATAGCTCCTATAAGTGGTAGAAAATATGACAAAATGGTGGTGTACTCCCTCACAAATGCGGAATATGTAGCAGTTGTGATGCTTCATTGAGTTGAAGTGTAATAAAATGAGGCAATGACGTCGTTCTGTGCTGGTTCTGTTCTGGACCGGTACCGGTACCGGTTTCACATCAGCTCCAACAAGTGTTGGAGTCATGACAAATGAACTTAATACAAAAATGTAACTTTGATTGAACTTTGGAGATTTGGGGTCTGAAGCTTTCCACTGGAGTCTAAATGGAGGCGTTTTGTGGTTATTTTGTGGTTTCATGATGATGTCAAATGATCTCTAAAAGGCTCTGTGAGGCTGGTGATGGGGCGAACCCCTCCTGACCGTGCGTGTGCGCGTGTGTGTGTGTGTGTGTGGGGGGGGGGGGGTCGGGTGACGTCAGCAGCGGGGCCAGGCTGCAGAAAGCCTCCCTCCGCGCTCATTCGCTGCGGCTGGTCCCTGTCGGCTGAGGTAGGAGCCAAATCCCCCTTTTCTCCCCGCTCTTTCCCAAT